CCCCCACACCTTAGGGATTTGCTAATGTAGACAAGCTGAGGGCAAAATGCAGAGGGAGCGGCCCCTCGTGAAATTCAACCTCATACCAAGAAGGGGATATTAGTCACCAATAAACAAGAAATGATGTACTGACTCCAGGCTATGACATAGATAAACCTTCAAAACAAGGGCCGGCAGGTGGTGTGCAGGTTAAGGCCCTGAAGTCTCACTTGGCGGACTCCATAGTTCGAGCTCCAGATCCGACGGCTTGAAAAATCACACTGGCTGCATGTGCTTGTATGCCCAGAATCCCAAGAGGAGAATGGAGGCCAGGGGACTGCCGAGTGGCCATCCCTTCTGGGGGGGATTTCTCCCTTTTCCTCTCGCTCTGTCTCTGGCAAGCCCCACACCCTATAACAAAAACTACCAAAAAGTAAAATTAAACAAAACAAAAACCTACATACTGTATGATTTTATTTCTATGAAATATCCAGAAAAGCTACTCTATACAGACAGTAAGTAGATTAGTGGATGACCAGGGCTGGAGTGGGTGGGGACGGGAGAATGACCATGAGTGGGTACGTGGTTTCTTTTAAAGAGGACCAAAACGTTCTGATCTTACATTGACGATGGTTGCACAACCTTTGAATAAAAACAAAAGCCTTGAGGTGTACACTTTACATGGGTAAACTGCATGGTATATGAATCATATCTCAATAAAGCTGCTTAAAAAGTATCTAAGTAGGGGCCAGCCAAGTGGTACGGTGGTTAAGGTAGCTGGATCCCACATGGCCAACTGCCTGGTTCAAATTCTAGACCTGAGACTGAAGAAACACAACAGGTGTGTGTATGTGAGTGTTTGCTCCAAATCCCAAGAGAATGGAGGAGACAGGATTACAACATGGTCATCCCACCTGGAGGTGGGGGAGATGTTGTAATCTCTCCCTCTCTCCCTCTCCCTCTCCCTCCCTCCCTCTCTCTCCCTCTCCCTCTCTCTCCCTTTCCCCTCACCGCACTCCAGAAAGCACATGTACCCATAGCAAAGCAAAAAAAAAAAAAAAAGAAAATTCTAACTAGACCAACCCCGTGGCCCAGCAGTAACATGGCCTGCATGATACTGAAGCCACATGGGAAGGACCTGGGCTTGTAACTTAGGCCTCCCTGACACACCAGCCACCTGTGCATGCCTCAGACCCAGGCTGCTAAGGCTGGGGTAGACAGCAGTGTGATGGCTCTGCTGAGATGCCTCTCTGCCTGCCTGTCTGCCTCGGGGAAGAAATAAACACACAAAGATGTTTAACTGATTAGGTAAGTGATTAGTAGGTCTTTCACTTTGCTGCCTGGATAGCCTCTCCATCTAAAAGAGAAGCAGGAGCTCAGAGAGCCCCACTGCATTCAAGTTACAAACAACCCCAGTGGTGGAGGTGCACTGACCCGGTCCTCGGCCTATCATCTCCGCGGTATTTCCACAGCAGCCATCTCAGATGAACTCCAGTGACAGAAACCGCGCCAATGCAAACGTGTCTACACTGAAACCAAACTACAGCCTGCAGTCTCCCTTGACTGCTCTCCTGCAGAGACTGTTCTCGTCTTTATTTAGTACAAACTGACCACCTCTGTTCGCAATCTTCTTTTGACTACCTGCTCCACTGACCTTCAAACCACTGAAGCTTCACTTTCACGGGATCTTTGTTCTCCCAAGAAACACAAGACACACCCGTACAAGACTAGCAGGACAGGGTAAAGAGTCTTCCTACTACACTGACTCAACTGCTAGGGGCCCAGGGAAGCCAGGATGCTTCATTTGAGTGGCACCATTACTAGAGAGAACCAGGGAAAAGAGAGAACCCAGTACCTGATCAGGAGACGAAGGGCATAGGGTCCATACTCTGAGCCTGCAGAGCAGGGGTCTAGACCGGTGGGTCCAAGGCTGGGCCACAAATTATCTATTTTTAATTACAATTTAACTCTAATTTTTTATATAGCATACCTGCTATTTTGTTTTTCAAATGATCTCAGTTCACCCCTCCACCTGATTCACTGACCCTGTTTAAGATGAAATAGATTTGGACCAGCCAATGGATCGTAATTCCGGTGGCTTCATCCCACATGGCTGACTATGCAGTCCAAGTCCCTAACCAGACCAGGACCCCGCCCCAGCAGCTTGGAAAATACAGTATGTGTGTGTGTGCCCAAAATCCTGAAAGGAGAAACAGAGAAGGGACTGCAGCATGACTGTCCCCCCTTGGGGTTGTTTTCTCACTTTCTCTTTTTTTTATCTCTATCTCTCTCCTCTGAGTACATGTATCCTTTAGCAAGTTAAAAAGAAATGATGAAGTACTCTTAATTTTCTTTGTTTTTGAAAGATTCCCTGAATTCGGAGAGAGAAAAGGAGTTACTTTCTTTTAAGATCCAAGTCACATATAAGTAAAGCTATAAACAATTTGATCACTTCTGCTTAAGCGCTTAAAAAAGATTTTCCAGGGACCAGCAGATGGCGTGGTGGTTACATTGCTGGACTCCCACATGGTCGACCATGGTTCGAGTCCCAGACCCAGTGGCTTCAAAATCACGCAGGAGCAGGTGCGTGCATGCCCAAGATCCCAGGAGGAAAATGGAGAAGGGATTGCAGCACAGCGGAGTCATCCCCCTAGGGGTGATTTCTCACTTTCCCTTTCGTTATCTCTTTCTCTCCAGTGAGCACACACATCCTAAGGCAAAATCTTCTACAAAAAAAAAAGATTTTCCAACAACTCAGGTTAAATTGAATCCAGTAATATTTCACTTCAATTGTGACACTATAACCGCCTCTGCTGTCCCAGTGTTCCAATTCAAATTTCTTATCTAAGCCTTACAGAAACTTATCAGTCATCCTTCTGGGGCCACATCTTTTCAATACAGAGGATACTTACGAAATGGCAGTACCACACCACTTGACCTTTATTGTGGGCTAACAGGTTTTTGTTTTTGAGTTTTTGCTATAAGGGCATGTACACTCATCAGAGAGAGACAGAGACGGAAAGTGAGAAATCACCCCCCAGTGGGGATGGTCACACTGCAACCCCATCTCCTCTCACAATTCCTTCTCCTCTCAGGATCTCGGGCAAGCATGCACATGTGCCCAGCATGTTTTTCAAGTCACCAGGTCCGGGACTGGGACTGTGCAGTTGGCCACATGGATTTAGCATCTTAACCTCCACGCCACTGTTGGCACTTAGACTTATACACACTTGGACTTATCTTTTTTTTTTTCTTTCAGTTTGCTATAGGGCTTATGCATGCACTGCAGAGAGACAGAGAGAGAAAAAAATAGAGAAAATGAGAAATCTTCCCCCTCAATCCCCCAGGGGCAATGGCCATGACCCAATCCCTTCTTTTCTGTTCTCCTCTCAGGATTATGGGCATATATGTTTTTTCAAACCACCAGGTCTGGAATTGAACTGCTCATTCAACCATGTGGGATCCAGCCACCTTAACCTCTATGGTAGCTGCTGGTCTTGGACTTATCTTCTGCATTATTAGCCCATATGGTCAATGTTAGGGAGGAAAAAAGAAACCAAGTTGTTAATATCAGCCTTCACTTGCAAATTGCAAAATTTTATCTTGATATATCATCTGCTGTGGCGTTACCGTCTTGTTGAAACTATTGCGAAAGCCCACAATCAAGTTTTCTGGAACTGACAACCAAGCACTTGGGCAAGTCAATTGCGGAATTATAAACTCAATTAAAATCAAGTTGAGCACCTCAGTTTTTTGTTGTTGTCCAAAGAATATCAAAAGATAACAAGAGACTATGAAAAAGAAATAATGATAGTTGTCTCAGATCATGGCAAGATCCTCACATTATATATATATATCCATTTCTACCTGAGTTTTTTTTCTTTTTTACTGTTTTGTTGCTATACCAAAAAGTTAATTTATTATCTCTTTCATACTAAGTTGTTCAAATGTTTTTCAAGGAACAAAGTAAAGAACATGGAGGAACATGATTGATATATCTTACTTGAGCCTCATCTGAAAACACTGGTAACAACCCCAAAGCTGCAAATGCTTGAAAAGTCAGCATTCGCTCATAAAACAGCAAAGTGAATTGTCTCACGGAGAACAACTACAAGCATGTCATAAGCAATCCTTTAGTCAAAAAAAAAAAAAAAAAAAAAGAAAGACAAAAGCGATAAGAGTAAAGAGAAAGAAAAGAAACAAAACAAGCCAGAAAAAAAAGCTAGGGCAAAACTTCCCAGCAGGTAATGGGATGTTCCCAACTTCTCCACCTGATCTTTGTCCTCTACTTTAAAAAGCCTCAGACTCCATGGAACAAGATCCCAGTATTTAGCTCAGTATAGGTAGGGATTATTTCTCCTACAAACTTTCCTCTGCAAAAAAGTACTTCTGATATCAACATGAAGAGTAACCATTTTACGGAAGCAGTAAATTCCGGCTTCTCACTGGGTCTCCGCGCCAGTGCAGCGAGGAATTTTGAAAAGCGGCTATGTAAAGTATCTGAAATAGGCCGAATCCAAGTCCCAAGTAAGGGGTAAGAGTCCACAGAGCAGAAAGACTTCTGAAATGCCGGGTCCCTGCGTCCATTCTCCTCACCCCCCAAACAAAGCAGAACAATGCTTTTCGTCCCCAGCCAGGGCCCGTACTCCCACCAAGTGGAAAACTTTATTTTAAAAACACCCACAAGGGGCGATCCACGGTGGGTAGCGGCTGCAGAGAAGGCGGCAGGCTGCAAACGCCAGGCCATGAACCCCGAACGGCTTAGAGGGACTTGAGCCGGCTTTCTCCGCACGCACGAAGCCGCACTGGCGCTTCCCGGAGTGGAGACAGCAGCGTGTCTAGTCGTTTAAACTCCGCGGTAAGCTAAGCAAGCCAGCAGCCGGCCAAGGGAGCCAGCGTGGTCCGCAGGAGGAAGAGAGGAGCTGGGGATGGGAAGGCCACGCTGCGCCCGGAACTGGACAGCGCGGGCCGGGGCGGGCCGAGCCACGGCAGGGGGGGGGGCGGCGCTGCATCCGACTCACCTGCCCATTCACCGAGCCCAGGGCCGACCCCCGCCTCGTTACCTACACCCCAGACCCGAAAGGCCGTGAAGAGCGTGTACGAGACGCGCAGGGCTAGGTAGGCCGCGGTGCCTGCGCCCACCCAGTACAGGAGGCCGGCGGCGGGGAGAGCACTCTCCATGGCTTCCGACTAGGCCTCACTACCTTCGTGAATGAAATCCACGAATGAATGAAACCAGGAGGAGGTGCAGGCCGTGACGGTGAGGGCGACCCTTAATAGGCGCTGCTCCCACCCCACGCTGAGCCTATGTCCCGCCCACGGCGCCATACCTCTACCGCCATTGGTGATCTCGCTTTCCTCCGTGCGTAATGCGCCAGCCATTGGCTGACTTCGGTTCCCCTGCCCCGCCCACGCCCCCTCCCTTAGGGACTGAGTTGCGTTTCCGTTCTAAGGTAGTGGGTTGCCCACTTGGCAATCAAGCTTTAGTCCCGCCTCATCGCGTCACCACGCCCCCCCAGGATTCTTTCCCCCGGGAGGCCTCACTCCACCTAAGCTCCCCGACTTCTCATTGGCTACGGCCATCCTGGCGACTGCTGAAGACTGAGCGCCGATTGGCCGCTCAGAACGAAATTCCGAGGAATCAGAAGAAGTCACTATGAATGGGAAGATTGTAGTAAGAAGTGGGCGGTGGAGCCACGGTTTTACTTTTTCCTCTTTATTAACACTCCGTGTCATTGTTAAGTGTGCTGTCATCGCTCCCTAAACTTGGCCGGATAAGGTCTCCCACCGCACGCGTTCACTCAGGTTACACCCACTTATTTGAGAGCCATCTAAATGCCAGGCCTCCCTCCTGCGCTAAGCATTAAACAACACTTAGCTCCCAGTGTTTGCAGTTCAAGGCATATAAGTTGGAGTCAAATCACTACAATACACAATGGCAAAGGAGCTGTAAAATGAATAAAAGTATACCATGGGAACCCAGCTTGCCAAACAATTAGCTTTGGAAAGGTTGTCTATCTTTTAACTGGGACTTCAAGGACGAAAGAGAATTTTCTTTTACTTTTTTTCCTTTAAAAATTTTTTTTTTTTTTTTTAGGTTTTTGCTATAAGGCATGTACATTCACTGGACAGAGACCCGGGGCCAGCCCGTGGAATGGACGTTAAGGTGGCTGAATCCCACATGGCCGACTGCACAGCTGGGTTCCAGTCTAGACCAGGTGCCTTGAAAACACACAGGGAAGAACAGAAGAATGGAGGAAAGGGGATTGAAAAGGGATTGCAGTGTAGCCATTCCCCCTGGGGAGTGATTTCATTCTCTCTCTCTCTCTCCAGCAAAGGCACGTACCCTATAGTAAAAATTAATTAAATAAATAAAGCTAAAAAAAAGTCTGCTTTTGCGAAGGGTGGGAATGGTATGGAGGATCCAGAGAAGTAATATAGTTTGAGAAGAGGCATAGGAAGTACCTCGACATAGTCCAGAGGAGGAATATCACAGATAAGGTTAAGAAATTGTGTTGGGACCAACAGATGGCATAATGTTTACATCGCTGGACCCCCACGTAGTCGACCTCAGTTCAAGTTCTGGACCCAGTGACTTAAAACTCACAACCAGCATGTCTGCATGTATGCTCAAAATTCCAAGAGGAGAATGGAGGAGAAGGGATTGTGGCATGGCCATTCCCCCGGGGGGGGGGGTGATTTTTTGCTGTCTCTCTGTCACTCTCTGTCTCACTGGCAAGTGCATGTGCTCCCTATAGCAAAACTCTCTCTTAAAAAAAAGAAGAAAAAGAAAAGGAATTGTGTCAATAAACTGCTGGCCACAGTTCAATATATCTTAAAGGTAACTTCAAAGTTTTATAATATTTAGTTCGAGTCTTACCATTCCTGAAACATGTATGCTTTCTCCGCTCTCTTTTTCTTTTTTTTTTCTTTTTCTGTTTTTTGAGAGGTTTTTCGCTATAGGGCACGTGCACTCACCAGACAG